TAAATTTAATTTGGGTGCAGCGTTGCATGACCGCGCAATTATTAGTTAAATTAGTGCAGCGCCGAGTAGCAAAAAGAGGCGTGGTCATTAAGGGGGTAAATCCTCTGGAGGGGGAGGGGTTAATCAGTCCATGAAAAGGATCATCTTATCTATTGTTTGTAGAATGTAATGCTTTCAGGACCCGTGTACAGGCAAATACATAGGAATCTTTAACTGCTGCAAAGCTCGAACCTTTCATAACAGAGGAATCCTCAAACCCTTAGAAAGAAGAAGAATCTGAGCAGCAGAGAGGATCACTTTGGAAAGGTTAATGATGTAAAAGTCACTTTCATGTATTGTTTGTCCATCCTGTGTGTATCTTCTTCTATCCCCGGTCTCTTGGGGCCTCCCCACCCCACTCTGTGCTGTGTGGTTACACCTCAAATGAATACCCCCATTTGTGGAGAACCTCCCTCCCCCTCCCATCCCTTCCTATTCCCCCTCCTTGACTAAGATCCCTTCCTTTACCCCCCTCCCCTCCTCAATACTCCAGATCCTACAACACCAACTTGGCCCTTATGTGCAAAAAATAGATGGAACTGGAATGAAGCTCCTTTAACCATTTGCTGACAAGCGGTGTACAGTAGATCACTTGACTTCAAGTGGTTGTACTGGGATGGAGCCACAAGGGATTCCTTGCCACGTGAGGCGGAAAGGAGCTGTTCTTTAGAATTGTAATAGTGCTGTTTGGCAATTATGTCCCAAGGGGGGACCATTGATGAGGAGCCGGGTCCCTGTGGACCCTGTCCATTTCCAGATGCTCGGTTGGGATGGAGGGTGCCAGATCTTGAAAAGGAGCAGCTACCTTGGACTGTACATCTGTGATGGTCTCTAGCATCCTGTGGATGAGGAGGTTATAGCATCGGGACTTATTCTTGAAGTCCTCCAAGCAACACTGTAGGATGATATTTTCCCTCTGAGGGCCTCAAGCTCATCTGTATGGTTGTGAACAAAGGGTGCCCAGATCCATGATGGTCTCTACATCCTGTGGATGAGAAGGTTAGAGCACCAGGCCCTATTCTCTAAGTCCTCCAAGCAACACTGTAAGATGAGATTTTCCTCTCTGAGGGCCTCAAGCTCATCTGTATGGCTGTGAACAAGGGTGTCCAGATCATCAACCCATATCTGGAGTTCAGCTGTGCCCTGTCCTAGCTCTCTGATTTCCAAGGATAGCCAGTCTGTAATGTGGTCTGAGGTTGCCTTCAGAGCCTTTGTGACCATCTGCACAAGTTTCTTAAGCAAGTCAGGGTGAGTGGGATCTGATTGAAAAGCCAGGGGAGAGGTTCCCAGATCAGTATCAGACTCTTGGCATAGATCTTTGTGAGAACCTCCCAGATGGATTTCAGCTTGGGTTTCTGTGTGAAGGTGGCGTACACCATCCTGGATTGTCTGACACCAGCTCTGGGGTGTGAGGAGGCAGCTGGTGAGCTGTGCCAAGACAAGCAGTAGATGTGAGTGGCTGAGTGATCACTGAGCGGTGCGGAGCCTCATGTAGACATGTCTGGTCCAGAGGGCCTTGCGCATGCGCCTCCGGATATTTAGATACTTTTATGCTTTAGGATTCATTTGGGATTTTCTTCACCAAAAAGATAAATTTAAGGGGTTATCGGTTTTATTAGGTATACCTTTGTTTGTAACATGTGTCCTATGTCTTCAAGACTTTTCTATATGTAATACATCATTTATATTAAATAGTTGGTTACATAAAAGCTACATTTATTTTTTCTAACTTTTTTTAAATTTCTTCGATCTTTCGTAGTAGCCAAAGGAATGGTTATTATAATACATTTCTCGGGGCGGAAATGTGTCTAGACGCCGTCTATGTACATTAGTAAATCAGGGCCAGGGTCTCTAGGGTGATGACAGAGAGGTCAGGCATTCTCCATCTCCTGAACCCTATGGATAGCACGGCCTCCTAGGAACAAAGAGTCATAGAATCGGCTCCTGACTGTCTACAGGGATGTGTGGAGTGACTGCCTGACAGCCTGCTGGCACAGCGAACAGTGATGTCTGTGTGGTGGCTGGACAGTAACAGCCCCGCTGCAGACAAAGACTGATACAATCCCGGGGTGGTAGTCGGAGTCACAGCTATGCAGAACAGCTACCCAGAGTCCCACGTCCACAGACCCACAATCCTTTTCTTCCTGAGAAGGGCAGTCTCTGTGTGTCCAGCTCTGACTCCCGTACCAAGAAAGCCAGCCTGGAACTTGCAGTAGAATAGATCTGCTCTCCCAGAATCCTTCTGGTTTGCCTGCTCTCTGGTAGTTGTAGTTCAGTCAGCACTCAGGAATACAATATGTATTGTCTATAGGACTACAGGTCCCAAGATCCTCTGCTGTAGGAGAATTGGATCCACTCTACTAACAGGAAGTGAGGTAGCCCTCCCACCACTGGGCACTAGGGGGCAAAGGTGTCATCATAATCCCATCTGTAAGTGTCCCGGTATTGCTTAATGACATATCCGGCAGCTGGCTACACTGCTCATGGGTATGGCTACACTATAACACACACACAGAGCATCCAGAAAGTATTCCCAGCCCCCCCATGTACATAAGTATTCCCAGCCCCCCCATATACATAAGTATTCCCAGACCCCCATGTACATAAGTATTCCCAGCCCCTCCATGTACATAAGTATTCCCAGCCCCCCATGTACATAAGTATTCTCAGCCCCCCCATGTACATAAGTATTCCCAGCCCCCCTATCTACATAAGTATTCCCAGCCCCCTCATGTACATAAGTATTCCTAGCCCCCCCATGTACATAAGTATTCCCAGCCCCCGCCCAATCCTTTGTTGAAGCCCCTTTAGCCCCCATTCTGGCCTCGAGTAGTTTGGAGTATGATGCTACAAGCCTGGACCTGGACACCCATTTTGGGGCGATTTCTCCCATTCTTCTTTGCAGGACCTCTCCAGCTCCATCAGATTGGATGGGGGGTGTCGGTGCACAGCCATTTTCAGATCTCTCCAGAGATGTTCAATCGGGTTCAAGTCTGGGCTCTGGCTGGGCCACTCCAGGACATTCCCATCATTGGCCCGCAGCCACTCCTTTGTTATGGGCCGTGTGCTGAGGGTCGTTGTCCTGTTTTTTGATGAACCGTCTCCCCAGTCTGAGGTCCAGAGCGCTCTGGAACAGGTTTTCATCAAGGATGTGTCTGTATATTTCTGCATTCATCTTTCCTTCCATCCTGACTAGTCTCCCTGTTCCATCTCCACAGCATGATGCTGCCACCACCATGCTTCACTGTAGGGATGGTGTGACGAACAGCAGAAATATTCTTTTTTTGTGTGTTTGCTGAAGTTCCTGGGCCTCAGAGGGGGAGGGGAAATGGGATGTATCTCCATATAGAACAAAGGCAGCATGGCTCTGTGTGGCTGGGGAAGTCCAGGCCACTTCTTAGCCGGAAGTTGGGGGGTGGGGACAATTGCAGGACCATGTGGACTCGTTGTTGGGAGAGCTGGAGTCATGATGGACAGGGCTACTCCTGCCTGAGCCTTAACTAGGAGATGCTTGGAACTGTACTTTGCTATGTACACTGCTGGCTGGTGAGTCCCTGGATGGCTACCCTGTGACCTGCCCTCTGCTGAGTGCACGGACCTCCTTCCTGCCAGAGCTACCTTCTGCTGTGGGCCCTGCTTACCTTGCCTGCCTGAATTGCCCTCTGCTGTGCCTGGACCTCCTTCCTGCCAGAGCTATCTTCTGCTGTGGGCCCTTCTTACCTTGCCTGCCTAAATTGCCCTCTGCTGTGCCCGGACCTCCTTCCTGCCAGAGCTACCTTCTGCTGAGTGCCCTCTCCTGCCTGCCTGAATTGCCCTCTGCTGTGCCCGGACCTCCTTCCTGCCAGAGCTACCTTCTGCTGATTGCCCTCTCCTGCCTGCCTGCCTGAATTGCCCTCTGCTGTGCCTGGACCTCCTTCCTGCCAGAGCTACCTTCTGCTGAGTGCCCTGATTACCTTGCCTGCCTGAATTGCCCTCTGCTGTGCCCGGACCTCCTTCCTGCCAGAGCTACCTTCTGCTGAGTGCCCTCTCCTGCCTGCCTGAATTGCCCTCTGCTGTGCCCAGACCTCCTTCCTGCCAGAGCTACCTTCTGCTGTGGGCCCTGATTACCTTGCCTGCCTGAATTGCCCTCTGCTGTGCCTGGACCTCCCTCCTGCCAGAGCTACCTTCTGCTGTGGGCCCCTCTCCTGCCTGCCTGAATTGCCCTCTGCTGTGCCTGGACCCCCCTGCCAGAGCTACCTTCTGCTGGGCCCTGCTTACCTTGCCTGCCTGAATTGCCCTCTGCTGCTGTGCCTGGACCTCCTCCTGCCAGAGCTACCTTCTGCTGTGCCCTCTCCTGCCCTGAATTGCCCCTGGACCTGCCTGCCTGAATTGCCCTCTGCTGTGCCCCTGCTGTGCCTGGACCTCCCTCCTGCCAGAGCTACCTTCTGCTGTGGGCCCTGCTTACCTTGCCTGCCTGAATTGCCCTCTGCTGTGCCCGGGCTCTCTTTGCCTCAACTGCCCCTCGGCTGTGTGCTAGAACTACCGCTGTTGCTGTGTGCTGAGCAGGGTCGCCGCTGTTGCCGTCCGCTGTGAACCAGGACATCCCTGTCAGACCCGTGAGTTTATGCTCTCCTGTTTTCCCTGAACTGTTCTTGTACTCCCACTCCACCTCCCTGTTGGATTACAACTACTACAGAGACTCACACCACCCCCCTGTTGGATTACAACTACTACAGAGACTCACACCCCCCCCCTGTTGGATTAAAAAATGCTGTAGAGACTTTAACTTTCCCTTGGGGCTGGACTACAAGTATTGTGGACTCTCTCCCTGCACTACTCCCCATTGAGTGACTGTTGTCTGTTTTAATAAAGCTTTAAGTGATTGCCGTCTGCCTTGTGTGTTCTGTCCTGCTTACCCTCACAGATGGTATTGGCCAGGTGATGAGCGGTGCCTGCTTTCCTCCAGACATGACGGTTGGCAGATAAATCAGAGTTTTCACACGGGGAGAGGCCGTATTCCTGTCCTGAGTGTGGGAAATGTTTTTCAGAGAAGTTCATTCTTTACACACATCAGACATGTCACACGAGGAAGAGGCCGTATTCCTATCTTGAGTGCGGTAAATCTTTTTCTAATAAGTCATATCTTTACATACATCAGAGATCTCACACAGGGGAGAAGGCGTATTCCTATCCTGAGTGCGGGAAATGTTTTTTATGGAAGTCAAGTTTTTACAGACATCAGAGATCTCACATGGAGAAGAAGCCACACTTTCCTGTCCTGAGTGAGGGAAATGTTCCTCTCTGAAGTCCGGCCTTCCTGTACATCAGGGGTCCCACACAACCCTGGAGGTGTATTAGTGCCTTGAGTGTGTGGGAAATGTCTTCTAGATGAATGTTGCTGGACATCCCAGCTCTCATGTGGGGAAGAAGCACACACTGATATACACCTCAGATATACTCCATGGCTGATCTCCATCCTGGCAGAAACAGTTGATAAGGAGATGAGAGGCCCCCAAAGACATGGATGAAGTGCAGTAAATGTCGGGGTGCAGAGTGGTCAGTAGATCCTGGAAATGAAGGACACAACTTCAGCCCTTCTTGGGTGTCGGAGTTGCGTTTCCTGATAATGATATAGCGGGTTACAGAGCTAGAAGCCGGGAGAGCCCAGATCTCGTTATCGGGGAACTTTACACAGACAAAAAGAACTTCTGAAGTTGATGTCCTTCATTTCAAGGCTCTACAGAACAGTGGTGACCCCGAAGCGTCTCTCTGTCTTCAGTCCATCCTTCTCCCATCCCCCAACAGGAGGGAATGAGAACTCCGCCCCAAACTAGGGGGGAACTTTCCTCTCATTATTTCCCTTTGGGCTTCTGTGTGGGTTTGGGTGGTTGGAGGAGTGCAGCACGAGAGGGAACACAGCTTTGTTGTTCTATGTCTACATATGGGGTCTGGGTAGAGGGGATCCACCGGAAAATATTTCTACTCTTTGATTTTGTGCAAATCGTTTCTGTCTTCACTTTGAAGGGCGATATTATGTGTGGTTTGTAAAAGGGATTGGCCCAATAGTTACCACCCCACTTAGAGAATAGATGAACTAATATGACCAGCATTCATTCAGCCATGTCACATGTTGGTCTTTTCATACAGAGATTTCCTATGATCATTGGTTCCAACTAGTGGCCATAATGTGGTATTGAACTGTTTTTCCTGACTGAGGTATTTTGGAAGTAATACCTCATTATGGCCACTAGAGGGAGCTGATGATTATAGGAAGTCACTGAGTTTATTAAAATATGGACAGATATGAATACGGTTTCTGATATGAAGGATGGGAAATTCTGAGTAGTCTGTCTCTCTCTAATATGAAGGATGGGACATTCTGGGTAGTCTGTCTCGGTCTCTGATATGAAGGATGGGACATTCTGGGTAGTCTGTCTTGGTCTCTGATATGAAGGATGGGACATTCTGGGTAGTCTGTCTTGTCTCTGATATGAAGGATGGGACATTCTGGGTAGTGTCTCTGTTTCTAATATGAATGACGAGACATTCTGGGTAGTCTGTCTCTCTCTCTGATACGAAGGACGGGGCATTCTGGGTAGTCTGTCTTGTTCTCTGATATGAAGAACTGGGGACATTCTGGGTAGTCTGTCTCTCTCTGATATGAAGGACGGGACATTCTGGGTAGTCTGTCTATGAAGTCTCTCTCTGATATGAAGGACGGGACATTCTGGGTAGTCTGTCTCTCTCTGATAGGAAGGATGGGACATTCTGGGTAGTCTGTCTCGGTTTCTAATATGAAGGACGAGACATTCTGGGGGTAGTCTGTTTTGGTCTTTGATATGAAGGACGGGACATTCTGGGTAGTCTGTCTCTCTCTGATATGAAGGACGGGACATTTTGGGTAGTCTGTCTCGGTCTCTGATATGAAGGATGGGACATTCTGGGTAGTCTGTCTCTCTCTGATATGAAGGACGGGACATTTTGGGTAGTCTGTCTCGGTCTCTGATATGAAGGACGGGACATTCTGGGTAGTCTGTCTCTCTCTGATATGAAGGACGGGACATTTTGGGTAGTCTGTCTGTCTCTGATATCTCTGATATGAAGGACGGGACATTCTGGGTAGTCTGTCTCTGTCTCTGATATGAAGGACGGACATTCTGGGTAGTCTGTCTCTCTCTCTGATATGAAGGATGGGACATTCTGGGTAGTCTGTCTCTCTCTGATATGAAGGATGGGAAATTCTGAGTAGTCTGTCTTTCTAATATGAAGAATAAGACATTCTGGGTAGTCTGTCTCGGTCTCTGATATGAAGGACGGGACATTCTGGGTAGTCTGTCTCTCTCTGATATGAAGGACGGGACATTCTGGGTAGTCTGTCTCTCTCTGATAGGAAGGACGGGACATTCTGGGTAGTCTGTCTCTCTCTGATATGAAGGACGGGACATTCTGGGTAGTCTGTCTCTCTCTGATATGAAGGACGGGACATTCTGGGTAGTCTGTCTCTCTCTCTGATATGAAGGACGGGACATTCTGGGTAGTCTGTCTCTCTCTCTGATATGAAGGACGGGACATTCTGGGTAGTCTGTCTCTCTTCTGATATGAAGGACGGGACATTCTGGGTAGTCTGTCTCTCTTTGATATGAAGGACGGGACATTCTGGGTAGTCTGTCTCTCTCTCTTTGATATGAAGGATGGGACATTCTGGGTAGTCTGTCTCTCTTTGATATGAAGGACAGGACATTCTGGGTAGTCTGTCTCTGTTTCTGATATGAAGGACGGGACATTCTGGGTAGTCTGTCTGTCTCTCTGATATGAAGGACGGGACATTCTGGGTAGTCTGTCTCTCTCTTTGATATGAAGGACGGGACTTTCTGGGTAGTCTGTCTCTGTTTCTGATATGAAGGACGGGACATTCTGGGTAGTCTGTCTCTCTCTGATATGAAGGACGGGACATTCTGGGTAGTCTGTCTCTCTCTCTGATATGAAGGACGGGACATTCTGGGTAGTCTGTCTCTCTCTGATATGAAGGACGGGACATTCTGGGTAGTCTCTCTCTCTCTGATATGAAGGACGGGACATTCTGGGTAGTCTGTCTCTCTCTGATATGAAGGATGGGACATTCTGGGTAGTCTGTCTGTCTCTCTCTGATATGAAGGACGGGACATTCTGGGTAGTCTGTCTCTCTCTGATATGAAGGACGGGACATTCTGGGTAGTCTGTCTCTCTCTGATATGAAGGACGGGACATTCTGGGTAGTCTGTCTGTCTCTCTCTGATATGAAGGATGGGGACATTCTGGGTGTCTGTCTCTCTCTGATATTAAGGATGGGACATTCTGGGTAGTCTGTCTCGGTCTCTGATATGAAGGACGGGACATTCTGGGTAGTCTCTCTCTTTGATATGAAGGACAGGACATTCTGGGCAGTCTGTCTCTCTCTCTGATATGAAGGACGGGACATTCTGGGTAGTCTGTCTCTCTCTCTGATATGAAGGATGGGACATTCTAGTCTGTCTCTCTCTGATATGAAGGACGGGACATTCTGGGTAGTCTGTCTCTCTCTCTGATATGAAGGATGGGACATTCTGGGTAGTCTGTCT